AAACCACTGCTATTCCAAAGGACCCATCCAACTCTTATAAAAGGCAATGGAAGCCTTTCCTTTAGCTTTACAGGAAGATGGTTCAAGCTATAAAGGAAAACGTGATAAAACAGTAGATTTGAATATCAGATGACCTCCTCTCTGTTCTGAGTTCTTGCTGATGCGCAGCTCTGTGTGGACCATCATCTGCGCTGGGTTTTCTGCTCGCTTTATTTACCATCAGCTTTTATTCTCATTCCCCTGATTTTCCCCCTTTTCAAAGTAAGGTATCAGAAAAGAAAACGCTGTAAAAACCAACTAATGCAAGCAGAGCATTGAAGAGCGAGGCTCTGAGCCTTCAAGTCTCAAAGGGAGAGCGATTCATAAATGTCAGCCTGGACCGCGGGCGCTGAGGCATCATTGATGCTGATCTTCATTCAACAAACCGCCCGCCGCCACGTCCCCCCGCCCGACCCTATTTTGCTGTGTTCCAAACAGCTGCAAAAGTGACAGAGAAACAAGCATTTACTGTCACAGCACCCAGCAGCTGTCCCTGCCAGCACCTCAACCCTGCTGTCCCTGGCACCCTAAATTACTCTGTGTTCATTCAGGTCTAGTCTTTCGCCCCTCTGGCTGCCAGGAATTGGGTTTAAATACAACAGAGAGAGTGAATGTGCGCAGAAATAAGTATTTTGTGAAGCAGCATTGACATTTGGGGGCTCCTCTAAAGAAAACATACATTCAATTATGTATAATGCAGTTATACATGATCCCGCTGAGCATTCAGCTGCGTTTGCTGAATGAGAGATGGGAATCTCGCAAGGAATTTGGGATATTCTTACTACTAGTTAAGATTTTTCCAGCGTTAACATTTTTTTGCCATTAAAATCCCTGATTCTTCCCTGTGGAAATCTGATCTTTAACTCCTGGGTTAGCAGGATTAAGGCTGAAAAGGATTTTCAGAGGAAGAATTACCTTTCTTTTTTTCCTCCTGTATTTGTACAGGATCTATAATGAGGGGGTGCCGATTTGGAAGAGGGATTCCTAAGCAGTTCTATCAGACAGTTAATAATCACAGTGATAATAATTAATAGAACTGTGCTTCTCCATTACTTGGAAAAGATGCTGCCCACTCTGAACTGTTCAGGAGGAAAGAGGAGATCTTTTGCCTGTGCACGGGGATATTAAGGACTAATAATCATAGAAGCCCTTGTTAGGAAAAGCTGTTTTCTTTCAGCAGAAATTCCACACCAGGCCATAGCATGTAAGGATTTTCATGACACCCTCACTGCCTTTGGCTCACAATGAAGTAAATGTCCTTTTCCTCTCATCTGCTAGATGAAACCTAGAAAAGGGCTTAGGAATCCCATGCCCCCTCTCTCCACTTGCATTCTGAACAGGAGAGAGGTCATTGGAGTCCTGCCCATTGCAGGTGTGCAGAGCTTCTTATACCAACACCAGGCAAACATTCATGGCTTGGAAAAGAGCTGCTGGGGGACCTGTTGCTCCATTGCTCACCCAAACTATTCCTGTCCAGAAAAAGGAGGGATGCTGGAGCAAAGCACCCCATTAACACAGTAAAAACTAATATTAACCCAAAATTTAAGTCTCGCTCTTTCCCCCCACCCTGTTCTCAGCACAGCAGCTGTGCAAGGGCACAAGTTTCCATCCACTCATTGTGGATAAGGGGTTCTAGAGTCCGTAGCTCATAGCAATCCATGGAAACACTTCTAACAACTGGCTTTGGATGAGGCTGTGCACTAAAACCCTGGTTTTGCTGCGGTGGGAGCACACAGTGACTCTCCTGACAGCACAGTGATTTATCACTCCTGCCGTGCAGGTGAAAACAAGAACTTCAAGAGCACAGCTAAGCACAGGCGTGGGAGCTGTGGAAATGCCAAGGACTAAATACCCCAAGTGTTAACTAAAACCTGCAAAAAGGTTCTGTCCCTTTTACTCATTAGTGTTCAGAGCAGCAAGGCTCGTTGCATGGGAACACAAGACAAGTTTTGGACCTAAAATGATCTGCAAGCAACTGAATTGTATAAATTTAGCCATAAAATGGCAGCAAGCAGATACCGGGTACATGCCAGAGCCTTCCCAAGCACACAGCATCGGATTGGACCCATCACTATTGTTCATCCTGAGAGCAAAGCTTTTCAGCTCTTCTGCTGCTGTTTGAATTGAAATTACTTGAAAGTTACTACAGAGCTTTTATTTTCTAGCTTTTCAGCTATCAGGAGCTTTCCTGTAAAGGACTGAACACTTTCACAGTAATCTCTAAGCTGCCACTGAACTCCTGTATCCTCTAGGCAGAGCATTAATCCTGCAGATGTCAGGGACTTTACTTTAACACAACACGTAGGTTACTCTTATCTGATACGAGGTTGTTTTTTCTTCCCCCGTAAAGCTCTTTCTATTTGCTCTTTGAAATTCCCATGTAAGATCTGCTCCCAGTTCAAAGGTAAGCAGGGTTTGAAAAATGGTAACTTTACCACTTGGTCAGATGAAGCGATAGAGCGCACCTTTGGGCTGTGCCTGCATCGAGTCAGGGAAGGGACGCAGTACATGCGTGCTGCAGAGCATATCCCATCGTGTGCAGTGGTTCCTACATGCTCACCTGCTTGGAAAATAGAATCCTGGAATGGTTTGTGTTGAAAGGGACTGTAAAGCTCACCTAATTCCAAACCTTTGCCATGGACCAGGACACCTTCCACTAGAAAATGCCTTCCCTGTCTTCTGCTGAAGGTGACATTTCCTCTCATTGATATAAATGGGTCTCTAACTGCTCTGAAGCCAGCGTGCACACACACTTATTCCTGCATAAGGAATTGGTATAGCAGAGAGAAACCAGGAGAGGAGGTCAAGATACCTCCATCTCATGGGGATTCTGATGATTCCCAAGTGACGATGTGATTTAGCCAAGCATGCAGACCTTTATTTATTACCTGACCCTCAGCCACGCTGGTATGAGCTGGCCAGGAAATTTGTTGGAGACTGGAGTGAACTTTAAAGATAATGAAGCAATATTAAGAGACTGGTGGCACTCTGCTCTGTTCCCTCTGTTCCACCAAACCCTCTATAAACATACCCCACTTGGGTGCACTCTTTAAGGCTCCCATGGACAGGCCAGGTCTAGATGACACATCCTGTAGGATCACTGCAAGACTTGCCCTGCAGCTCCATCATTTGCCCATCCCTGTGCAAACATCACTGGTACTTTGTCCTACAAAATTTGAACTCAAGACCCTGTAAAACAAATGATGCCACTTGAACCAACTTGTTGTCCCAGCACAGTCTCATTTTATTTCATGGATGCATGAACTCAGGAAATGGGAGCTACTGAAGTTCCCAGGTGCTCCAGCTCCCATCTCTCCCTGTGTCATCCCAGCTTCTTGCAGCCTTGCCCTGCTTGGACTCACCTCAAGGCACAGCAATGCTGCTCCCTCCACCACCCTGGCTGAGAACTGGTGCTCAGAGACATGAAATGGTTTGTGCACTATTACAAAGCCAGACGTGCAGCAGGACACGTACCCTGCTCTGCGTGTCCATCGCTAGAATAAGAGAAAGCAACTACTGCAAGTTGCTCTCCTCCTCCTACCTGCCCTGGACAAAGAGGAATTCAAGTGTGTGGACTGGAAAGTGCAATTCTCTGCCCCAGCCAGAGCTGGGGAGCCCTGAAAAGCAGCACCATGCAAGGGGGAAGCAAACCAACGTCTCCAGTTCCTGCTGTCCTCAAGGGCTTCTTTCCCTGGAAGAAAAGTTCAGTTATTCCTCACTTGCAAGTTTAACACATGTAGTTTAAGGTTTGAGCCTTAAAAACAGTATTTGTTTATAAAGACACGTTGTAAAATTATCTTTAAAATCCCTTTGTTCACTCACTTTGTGACTCTGAAACAGAAGGATCAGTTTAATCAGCAAAATCAGTAATTTCTAAAGAAATTACAAACGAGAAAATAGCATTTCTAAAGAAAATAAAACCTTGCTTTGCACTTTAGCAGGTTAAATTTATTTTTACATAGAAGGCAAACGGACTTAAAACACATTTAAACAGTGTTACATTTAAATTTAAAGCGTACTTTTGATTTCAAGGTGATTACACATCGTAGCAATTAAACAAAACGCCTTCAAACCCACCACGTTCCTGATACTTTTTAAGTACTGGAATGCTTCAAGCACTCACACAGTTCCTACTTTTCCTCCTGTAAATCATGTACTTGACCCCCTTTTTCCGAAGGGGCAGCGGGAAAGCAGCGGATAAATGGGAATCTGGGGAGTTGCTCCTTCCCCCCCCCCAGTCGCAATTAGAAAGCTGGATTCCGAGGCTAATTAGAATCAAATGCTCCAAGTCAGCGCTGCAAAACCCGGGCTCGCTCTGAGCGCGGCAGGGAGGTATTTTAGGGAAGGGGGTTTAGGGGAACCCGAGCAGCACAACCCAGTACCGGAGCTAACGGGGAGATTTTTCGGGACCCCCTAGACACAAAGGCTCCCCGAAGTGCTGCATCCTCCTCCGACCGGGAGCATTGCCGCTGCCCGATAGACACCAAGAGCGGAGAAGAGCGAGAGGCGAGACGGGCCGAGGAGCGGCTCGTTCCGCTTCTTTTCCCGTCGGATTGAGCGGGGAGAAACGATGCGCTCGGTGATGCACGGAGCGCTCGGCGGTCGCGGTGCTCAGCTACCGGCGGGCTGCACGGGGAGCTCCGGCTCCGCTTACAACCGAACCGAGCAGAGCCGCACCGGTGCTTCTGCCATGCACCGACCTCAGCCTTAGCCCCTCGGCGAGGGGCTCCAGGAGCAGCCGCCGTCCTCGGGGCACGACCCCAGCCCGCGGCACCTCCCGGCGGCGACAGCGGGCAAATCAGAGCCCCGCCCTTCATGTAAATGAGAAACCACTCTCCCCCAATACAAAGCGGCGGGCGGGAGAAAGCCCCACCTCTTATGTAAATGAGCAACACTTTCCGCCAATGGGGAGCGGCGTCTGGGGCGTGGCCTTGCGTCCTCCCCTTAAAGTACATCGTTGCGGGGCCGGTGCGCGCACTGGAGGAGGAGCGCAGTGGTGGGTGCTGGTTGCGGGGCCGGACGGAGCAGGACTTGTTTGGGGTGTTTTCCGCTTTATCGGCTGATTTTTCCGCTTTTGCGCCTTGTTTTTATTATTCCGGCTGTTTTTTTTTCTATCGATATTTTGTTTTTCCGCGCCTTGCGGGCGCCTGCGGAGCGGTGCGCGGCTTCCCCCCGCGCCCGCGGGCCGGCTCTGCCCCTCGCCCCCCTTCCCGTCCGCCGATGCTCAACATGACCGAGGAGCACGACAAAGCGCTGGAGGCTCCGTGCAGCCCCGCGGGCACCACCAGTTCCATGTCCCACGTGGACTCGGACTCAGACTCGCCGCTGTCCCCCGCTGGCTCCGAGGGGCTGGGCTGTGCCCCGGCGCCCGCCCCGCGCCCGCCCGGCGCCGCTCCGATGGGCAGTAAGGTGGATGCGGCCGAGGTGGACGAGCGCTTCCCCGCCTGCATCCGCGACGCCGTCTCGCAGGTGCTGAAGGGCTACGACTGGAGCCTGGTGCCCATGCCCGTCCGCGGCAACGGATCGCTCAAGGCTAAGCCGCATGTCAAACGGCCCATGAACGCCTTCATGGTGTGGGCGCAGGCCGCCCGCAGGAAGCTGGCTGACCAGTACCCGCATCTGCACAATGCCGAACTCAGCAAGACCCTGGGCAAGCTCTGGCGGTGAGTCCCGCGGCCGCGCATCCCTCCACGGGGCTCCGCGCCTGCACTCTGCTCTCAGCGGGGCCGCTCCGGCGGGATTCTGCGTTTGCACCCGCTTCCCCCTTTCTAAATCTCTTTACCTTTCTGTATCTTGTATTGCCCACGGGGGGCTCCGTGAAGCGCTTCAAACTGAAGCTCAACTCCCCTCCCTCCCAGCGTGCGGCTGCGCTGCGAAGGACACGCCGGTCCCAGCTCCGAAAAGCCGCTCTTCCAGGGGCCACGGTGGGCTCGGCTCCTGCCCCAGCGCCTTGTCATGCATGGATCTTCCTTGCTCCATCGCCGCCATGTGCAGCGTGGGCCCTTTCTGCGCCTGGCCAGGGTTCCCCTGTCCCCAGGACATCGAGACTTTCTTAACTTCTTTTTTTACAAAGGCTTTCTCTAAAAGTTTTTCCCCTTGCTTGCTTGGTTCGCTTGTTACTTCCAAGCTATAAACTCAAGCAAGCCCATATTGAGCCGTTATTTTAATCAGATTTCTAATTCCCCTTCTCATCTGTGTGTTTGCACGCTCAGCGCTGTGGCAAACTTTTTCTGTTGCGTGCTCTCTGCTTCTCAGCGAGCCACATTTTATCCCCTGATACACTCAGTCACATCAATCTGTACCAAACATGCATCTCTCCTGCTTGGGCCAGCAATGCTCCCGATGCCGTTTGGGACTCCCCAAAGAGAGGTCTTTGGTGGGGGAGAGCTTTGAAAGCAATAATCCCGTTGCTGTTGCGCTGTGGGCTCTTTGTAAGCACCAAACAAAGCTGGAAATGGGCAGCGTTGTTTGTCGGGTGAGGGGGTGGCATTTGTGGGACAAACATAGGGATAATATTTGGCACAGGCATTTCAAATGGGGCAGGGGGACTTTGTTTTGCCCTGTTATCTGTATCCGTAGCACTTGGGGTTTTTCATACCTCAATAGTTGGTATTTTTAAATACGTTTTGGCAAGGTAACTTTTCTTTTTGCTATGGCAGATTTGTTTTGTAATTGTTGTTCAAATCAGTGTAAGGGAATTGGGGATGTGTGAGCCTGAAAACAGGCTGAAAACTTCTAATGCAAAGATACTAATTTTGGATTGTTTTTTCTTTCTCCCCTTTATTCGTATTAAAAACCTGTATAAATCCCTCCCAAACCAGCTTGCTAAGTGAAAATGAGAAACGTCCCTTTGTGGAAGAAGCCGAGCGGCTCAGGGTCCAGCACAAAAAGGATCACCCGGATTATAAATACCAGCCCCGGAGGAGGAAAAGCGTGAAAGCCGGACAGAGCGACTCCGACTCCGGTGCTGAGCTCAGCCACCATGCGGGCACCCAGATCTACAAAGCGGACAGTGGGCTGGGGGGCATGGCCGAGCCCCACCACCACGGTGATCACACAGGTAAAGGGCAAAAGAACCTGCAGATCCCAAGCATCCTGGTTTGGGATGTGAACCCGGAGCAGGCAGGGGCTGCTCTGCCCCCGCTGTGTGAATATTGGTAGGATTGGGAGCATCCAAAAGCGCAGGGGTTGTTGCCCCAAGAGCTCTGGTTTTGCACCAGAATGTGGCCACAGTTTTCTTCAGTAAATGCTGATAGAGGTGACTGCAATTGGGAACCCCGAAAGTGCAGGGATCCCACATTCCCAGCTGTCCTGGGAGTGAGGGGAATTAACTGTGAGCTAAGAAGGGTTAATAACGCATTGGCCTTGTAAGAGGTGTCTGGAGGAGCGGGTCCTGAAGACGCTGCTTCCCCCTCGGAGCTCGCGGCTTCTCTCCGGCACTGCAAATTGGCACAGGGAGCGTGTTGACAGATTCCAGGAGGATTGCGAACGTCCTGCAGCTACAGACGTGTCTGTGCTCTCACCCAGCCTGGCTGGGGATCCCAGCACGACTCCTCTGCCTCCGGGAGAGCTGGGCTGGCCTCGGGCTGCCCACTTGGAGAGCTGGAGGGGACCCGGCAAACCCATCCCTGGGTTCTGCTTCCCAAGCAAGTTGGGGTTTGTGGAGTTCAGGGGTGTCCTGCATGTTCCAGAGTGGTCCTGATGGATACGGTGTGTTCCCTGGCTTCTCTGCACTCCGAACCTACACCTGTGTGGGTGGTTTACCCTAACTGACAACATGTCTGTGTCATGGTTGTGGGGGGACCTCAATCACCTCCAACACGGGGCCATAGATTTAAATCCTGTTTCCTTGCAATAAGAGGGAATAGAAATCAGCATTTTTTTTAATATCCTTAAAGGAATGGGTCTTCTGTGGCCGCTCTCATTCAACCTTGTTCTCCCTTCATACCCAGGTCAGACCCACGGACCACCCACCCCCCCCACCACCCCCAAAACCGACCTCCACCACGGCAGCAAGCAGGAGCTGAAGCACGAGGGCCGCCGCCTCGTGGAAAGCGGCCGCCAGAACATCGACTTCAGCAACGTGGACATCTCCGAGCTGAGCAGCGAGGTCATCAACAACATGGAGACCTTCGACGTGCACGAGTTCGACCAGTACCTGCCGCTCAATGGCCATGCTGCCATGCCGGCTGACCATGGTCCCAATGCTGCTGCCGGCTCCTATGGCGCTTCCTATTCCCACTCGGCCACGGGCACCAGCGGGACCAGCCAGGTTTGGACTCACAAAAGCCCGGCCTCAGCATCGCCGTCATCTGCTGACTCGGGCCAGCAAAGGCCCCACATCAAAACGGAGCAGCTGAGCCCCAGCCACTACAGTGACCAGTCCCATGGCTCCCCTGCACACTCCGACTACGGCTCCTACAGCGCCCAGGCTTGTGCCACCACCGCCTCCACCGCCACGGCTGCTGCCTCCTTCTCCAGCTCCCAGTGTGACTACACGGACCTCCAGAGCTCCAACTACTACAACCCCTACCCCGGCTACCCCTCCAGCATTTACCAGTATCCCTATTTCCACTCATCCCGCAGGCCCTACGCGACACCCATCCTCAACGGCTTGTCCATCCCGCCGGCTCACAGCCCCACTGCTAACTGGGACCAGCCGGTCTATACGACCCTGACGAGGCCTTAAAGGATGTGTGGAGCCCCCGAGGGCTTCCCTGACATATGCACTAATGAAGGAATGAAGACGAAGAGCGTGGAGTGCCGTGATAAGTTTCCGAAGTGCCTCCTGAGCCACTGGGAACTCTGCTCGTTGCGACTGGATGTCCCCTTGCTTCAAAACTCTCCAAAAGGACAGAGCTCTATTTTTCTTTAATACAATTAAAACAATGAAATTAAAAGCAAAGGACTGGTGATTTTCCTTTTGAATAAATGAAGGACAAAAACCATTCGACTCCTCTGTGAGGACTGAACTGGACTTACTCGTCGTGGAAGTTGACAAGTGCAAAAAAGTGGAGCTGGGGTGGGGGGGTGTGGGAAAGGGAAGGGAAGAAAAAGCTGATTGAGACTTTAAGGGTCTATTGCAATGTGAGGAACGGACCAACCTTGAGGGCAAGAACTCACTGGGACCAAGGCGGAGGAGCCCCGAAAGCCCGGCTATTCCATGTAATGATCTCGTGGGAACAAGCGAGTCTGGTGGGACCAACCAATTCCATGTCTGAAGTGTTTGTTTGATTTTAGTCAAGAGTTCTTCTGAGCAAGGTTTGGCTGTAATTAACATTTTGTTTTGTTTTATGGAAGCTTAAAATGGGGTTTGTTTCCTTTTTTGGTATTTTTTTTTAATCTGTTAAATATGTATTTATGTTCTGTATTATTTTGTCTTTTAATTAATGAAGTAATTTTGTGCAAAAAAACACAACAAAATGAAAGTAGAATTTTAAAAGATTTTAAAGAATTTGGGGGTGGGAGCATAAAACTAGTGGAGATGACACAATAAAATGGTGTTATGAGTCTAGAGGTTTTCCTTGGTTTTTGGGCTTGGGACACTGCAGCAGTCGTCTTAGAGAGGAACTGACCCAATCTGCCCATCGCAGAGCTGGTCACCAACAGGGAATTCAAATGGGAATGTAAAATAACAAGGGGAGGGGGGGAACAGTTACTAATTCAATTGGGAGGCTAAAATGATCACAAGAAGGAGCAGGCAGTTTTCCTGGCTACCTGCTCTTGGGTGTTAAATTGGGACTTAAGGCATCGCAGAGTCTTTGTGCGCTTTCGGAACCAGGACTGCTTTATAGGAAGATGTAATTTAATGAGAAATGATCAACTTCTGCTTTAATTTTTTGGCTTCTAGGGACCAGATATCACCCATCAAGCTGTGAAACTAAAACCCTCTCCACTAAAAAAAACGTTTTAGGTACTTAGTTTTAGACTAATATTTTCATTGATATATTTCTACTTCTTCCATTGTATGCTGAGCATATAATAACCACCTATTTTATGGTAACTTGTGCCTTTAAGAAACCTTTGTAAATCTAAACCCACGTTTCAGAGGTTATCATCTTTTTACCTTTTCTACGTTTCCTACTTTTTCTTTTTTTTCTTTTTTTTTTTTCCTAAAAAAAATATTTTTTTGCATATTTCCTTTTGCGGGGACATTGGGGGTGGGGGAGAACACAGAAAACTCCTTTTTATGCAATCTATTTTTCTGTATAAAGTTTGAGAGACTTTGCCTGTTACTTATCTGTTCTCTTCACTAGCTTCGGACTAAGCAATGCTAACTTTTGTACAGATCCATTTGATGAAATTAAAAGTTGCTTTTTATCAAGCTACGTGTTGGTTTTCTTTCTGCTTGAGCCTCTTGCTGGGCTGAAAAGAAACACGGGAGAAGGAGATGGGATCCTTGGAATAAACTGTTTTGACTGAGGTTTTCTGTTCTCAATGGCTTGTTGGTTTCAATTGGCTTTTTCTTTTCCTTACTCCCTTTCCCTGTATTTAAATAATGTCTTTCCTATAGGCATTTTAATTCTTTTTAATTTACTTCTTCAAAACCTATATTTCCACATCCATGGAAACCCTGAGGATTTCATAGGATTTCACCGAGGCTGCTCGCATGAGGAAGGGTTTGCAAGCTGAGGCTGTGCATGGTTTTAGCCCCAGCGCCTTTTATTCCATACAGCACATAGGAATTTTACAGTAGCAAGTCCTGCTTTCTGGTTGGTGAGCCCTTGTAAATACCTCTTAATTATGATAGCAACAAAATTATACCTTGTGTGTAGTGGGTTCTTTTAAAAATACAGTCATTAAAATAGTTATGTTTGTGACTTTTTTGGGTTCGCTTGGCTTCTATAAACTAAGCTGCAGTTTGGTTTCCCCAGGTCAGAGGCAAACCAGTGTGAGATCTCTCCGGCTGGGCCTTAACTGGGAGGAGAGGGAAAAGCAGGGCTTGGTTGCAGCGCAGCACTGTGGAAAATGGTTTAACACAGGGAGAAAATAAATGTGATGACAATTAATGAAGCTCAAGGACATTAACGAAGTCTGAACAACAGAGTCCCAAAGCAAATGCGCTGCTTGCCGTATCTGCCAAGAGCTGTCTTGCCAGAGAGTCTGTAACTGGACACCATTTTCTGTGTGCTCATTTGCAGAACTGCTGGCAAAAATGCTTTTATTGCGCTATAAGCCAGAGCTGTGGAATGACTTTCTTCCCTCCTCCCTCCAGTGACAATGCAAGTTGCAAGTCTTAATCCTAACTCATGCTTCAAAAATAGATGTGTGTTGGTTTGGCCTGTCCTGCGTGCTGAGGTAGGGCTTCCTCTCCAAAGTCACACACTTTAGGGGACGGGAAGAAGGGGAAAAAGCTGAGATGGGAATGTGAGTGCTTTGCTTTGCTTGTATCTTGGTGTTTAATCACAGAATCAATGAGGCTGGAAGAGAACTTCAAGATCATAGAGCCCAATTTACAGTGACTTCACTAGATTATTCTTTAAAATAGAGTTAAAATACCTGTGTGTGATGGTATTGTAAATCATCTGGAATGGTGAAATTAGAAATTGCAGTCTGGCGCATGGTACCGGGTCCCACTTGCAGGCTTGCTACCAAGCTCTCCTAGCTCCAAACCCCTGCCAAGGGCAGGGACACCTTCCACTAGACCAAGTTGCTTCAAGCCCTCTCCAACCTCTCCTTGAGCACTGCCAAAGATGGGGCAGGCACAGCTTCTCTGTTCACCCTTGGCTGTGCTTGTTTTTGCTTTCTATAAGCTTTCAAACTCAAGTTAGCTTTTAGCAATGTCTGCAGAAAGGGAATAGATCTGTACTGCTCACTCAGTACAAGTAATAACATGAGCCTTAGGGACCCCTCTGCTTCTCCCTGCTGCAGCTCCCGTTTGAGTAGCTAATGCTGAATGGTGAGGTTCTTTTTTTCCACTGTCTTTTATTGCCCTTGGAGTTGTGGATAATCACTGCACTGCTGTTGGGTAAAATACAAAGACATTACCAAATGGATGTTGAAGAGGCTGATGGGCAGGTAAAGTTCACGGGCCTGGATAATCCAGTGACTCAGGCTTTAGGTTGCACTGGGAATTTCTAAGAGCACCAGAAGTTCATTCCCCATGCCCAGATTTACACTGGATACCAGTCTCCCATTTCATTTCCTTGGGAGAAAAACAGTCCAGGGACACGGTTTATATTCAGAGTGATGAACTTTTTGGTTTGCAGTTAATGCTGTTGGTAGAAACCCATTTTCATGCATGATCCTTTTCTGCCATTTTATGTGTCGATATCATCCACAGAAAGTGATTTTCCACGAGCCGAACGACTTCCTGACGTGAATGGCAGCATTGTGTGTCCCGAGCTCGGCTCCGATGGCTCTTGTGCTGGCGTGAATCTGGAATGTCTCTGCAGAAGTCAATGGGATCAGGTGAAACCAAGACCAGCTTTTGACCCCTGGCTGTCAGCAAAAAAGGGTTCTCAAGATAACTGCAGGAACACAGAAGTGACAAAAGTTCCTCTTATTCCTGATGCAGGGAATTTGCTTTTTATCTGAATTGCTCAGAAGGTGCTGTTTAAAAAGAAAGAGGAAATTAATTTTATAGACCTTATCCACATTCCTTCTGTGTGGTGGAAAAAGTCCCTTCCCATCCTCCTTATCCCCTCCCATCTTCCCTGGAGTGATATCAGCTTTTGTTACACCTTTTCTTGCAGGTGGGTATTAGGTTTATGGCAAAGAAATTCTCCAATGGCACATCTCTGACAGCACTCAGCGTTAATGAACTTCCCTATGGGTATATCCCTTCTCCCTCTCCATGGACTGACCTCTTGGGGATGTCTGGCAGATTCTTAAGCATGAATTCACCAGCAGAAGGGCTCCAAACTCCTGTTCTGGGGGGTGGGAGGAAAAGCAGGGGGTTTCACATCAGCTTATGACTGCTGCATGAGGAATGGAGGGAGGAACCCCAGCTCCCAAGGGAGACAATACCCCACAACTCACCAGTACCTTAGATCCTCTTTGGAGACCCTGTAGGGGCTCCACAAGGGTTTTTTGGGGCTCATCACATAGGACCCTACTTAACAAAGTGAAAGGAGCTGCCTAGGACCATGGGAACCAGGCAGACCCAGTCCAGCCCTGTTCCCATCTCCTTCACCACCACTCAGCTGAGTCAGGATGCTGTCACTTTAAGTTCGCTTTCTGCATGTTATACTCAGGAATTAGGGATGGCACCAAGTGGCAAAAGCTTGGGAAGGGGAAGCCATTTCCCAAATGAGTCAGCAGGAGATAAAAATAGGCACCCAGAACCCAAACCACAAAAAATGGTGCTTATTCCAAACTGTTCCGTTCTCCTGCTGTCCTGTAACCCCAGTTGCCACAGGGCAATCCCTATGGATGGGATGAGATGCAGGCGCTGCTCCCACACAGACAGCACTGTATTTTGGGAATGACAGCCCTTCAATCAGCCCACCAACTCATGGTGGGTCTCGGGCTATGGGGTTAATGTTGCAGAGAGACAGTAGTGGGGCTGGGGCTGGGTTTTGTGACTTAGGTGGAAAGTATACAGATACGTTTTTGCTGCATGAGGAGGGACACGACAGGCAATGTCTTTCCATGAAACCACACAGTCTGCATTGGGGAAAACAGTTTTAACAGGGCTCAGAAAACAACCCAGACCCATGTTCTGCTGCAGCCTGCTGGTGGTGCATCCTCGGGATGCCGCACACCTCGCTGCTGTTTGATAACCAAATGCAAGATGCATTATCCCACCCCAATGGGGGGTGGTTGTTGCCACCAGCCCAGGGGCTCTGCCTTAGGAATGGTTTGGCACTTGGATAAAGGGGGTGAGTGCTGCTGAAAGAGGGGCTCTGCCCTCCCCATGCTCGGAAGAGCCACCGGCGTTGCGGCTGACCCCTATTTAGCTGCTCCCATATGGCCGTGGAGCTCAGCCATGCACAGTGTGTCACTGGCTTAACTGGAGTGTTGGTTTTGACCTGATTTAGTGAAGCCCATGCACAAAAAAACGAAGAAAAGGGGAGAAAAGCCCGTTGGACACACTTACTCAGGTTTAAAAGGCAGCTTCTTTCAGTTTATCTTAAACCAATTAGGAATGAAAACCAAGCCACTCCTAATCCGAAATAAGAGGGTGTCCCTCCCTGCTCCGCCGCCCACTCCAGGGCTGGGTTGCTTTAGGGAAAGGGATGGGAAGTGGCACCCACACACCCGCTCCGACAGCCGCGCTGGCATCGCCTCCCGCTCCCCGTATTTGTTTGTGGATGTGTGTGCAGGCAATATTGTGACTGTCAGAGACGTGATATTAAAACATTTACCCAAAATACCTCTGCCTGCCTTTCTCCTCCCCTTTCTCGTCCCCCTCCTCCTCCTCCTCTTTCCCGTGCGTGTCTGTATTCCCAATGCAGCACCGGAGGTCTTCACCCAGGAAAGGGTTAAGCGTTTTGAAAGGTCTTGTTTGAGGTAGAGTGAATTTTAACCACCACACACATAACGAATGCGAAACAGCCTGAATTGCTGGTGAGGAGCCAAGAGCACAAGAGAGGAGCTGCTGAATTTTAATGATTCATTATTGCATGGAAGGCCTTTGTCTTCCTTTATCCGGTGCACAATAAAAGAATTAATTGGACAGAAAATGGCAGGGCAAAGAACTGACAAGTCATTAAGGGGCTCTGAATGGCTGATTAGGTGCACATTGGGGGTGGAATTTCAACTGCACTGTTTCAGCAAGGGCTCCGGAATAATAATGGCATGGCACAGTTTATATTTTGTATGCAGTACCAGAAAGGCCTTTATGTTGGCATTGTGGTGCTATTTATTATGCTGTCTATTTAGCCATTGTTGGCATTGTGCTGGCAATAAGAATGCGCAAACAAAGTTGGGATTTTTAGTATATTTTATTTCTTAACTGCACAAAGGCCAAATAATTGGGAATCGGCATCTCGCTCCATAGATAGTTTTATTAATTTCTCTGTGTGTGTGTGTCCAGAAACAGCAGTAAATATTTAGACTTGGGAGAAATAGCTTCGTTTAGAGAAAGGAAAAGCTCTGCTCAAGTTCTCCCACTTCCCCCCTGTTCCCAAGGAGCTGCTGGGTTTTGGGAGCCTCGTGCAGCTGGTGGATCCCCCACCAGCGATGGGGCACTGACCACTTCCACACCCTGACGCCGGGAGGATGCAGCTCAAGGAGAAGCAGCCAACTGGAATTATTGGTAGCTAGGAAGTCCATTGAACATCCCACATACGGATCCTTTGAGGCGGCTTCTGCCAAAGCTTCGTTGTTGTTGTTGATGTTAAGCTGTTGCCTGTGAGTTCTAATGAAAACCACACACAC